GCTGAAACCAGCTCAATCGCCTGTCCCAGCTAAATCGCGGGCATGGCCGCTCTCAGGATCCTCTCTGGTATGAGTTTCGCGCCATTTTTATGTTATGAAAGGTTCTCTACGAGTTGCGACTGCTGTCAGCTGTGTATAACTACATTTCTGTATTTGATTTTTGTGCGTTGAAACCGATTATACATTTTTCTAACGTTTTATATATGCATTGGTAATATTTCAAGTGGTATAATCAACGGGCGAAAAAATCTGCAATAACAACTGACAGATCTCGAAATTGCACGTGTATAACCTTATATATTCGTGTTAATAACATTAAAATGGGTGACGTTTCTGACTTGCTGGATTTATTACCGGTTTATTACTCAAGATTGTTTCCCTTTGCCGATTATCATAGGTGGCTGAGTTATGGAAATAGTAAGACTTCTATTTTTTCCTCTGTGTGTATAATATATATTTAACTATATCCAACAATGTCATATTTTTTCTTTTAGCGGCTACTTTTAGCAAGAGAGAATTCTCGTTCACCCTTTCAGACGATATTTATATACGTTATCAATCTTTCAACGATCAAAAGGGGCTGTCGGATGAAATTAAAAGATTACTACCACATAAAATAGACATAGGAGCTGTTTATAATGTTCAGTAAAGTATATCACAAATTACTATATAAGATTTTAAGATTGTCATATTTCTTTTCGTCAATGGATTCTTTTGTTAAGTCAGGATTTGTTTATAATTTATTATTTTTGAAATTTTTAATCTTAACCCTAATCTTTTTGATCTGATGTCTCAAAGATTTGACAACTTAATCACTAAATTAAATTTTATTTCTAAGCAAAATGTTAGTAATTTATCAACAAATTTGAATAGAACATTACAGTAGATTAACATCAACAGCATTGGCATTAAGCTTGTATTCTACATTTTCATTAAGCAAACCCTGCCGATGTATAATTTGATAATGAAGCGTCAATATGGAGCATCAAAAATGGAGCAGAATTTGCAATAAGCTATAATAATGAATATTTCATTTTAGGCCGAAAGATCAAAGAAGAGGTCCTAATTTTCAACCAGTGGAGAGAGAATTGGTATTTGATATAGATATGACAGATTATGACGAGGTGAGAACATGTTGCAAAGGAGCAGACATTTGTGGCAAATGTTGGAAGTTTATGTCGCTTGCTTGCAAGATATTAGACAATGCGCTGAGATGTAAGATGCATCTGTATATTATCGCTATATCATCAGCAATATTTCGAAATGATTGAGTATTTGTTTTTTTACAGTGGATTTTGGATACAAACATATTTTATGGGTATTCTCTGGTAGAAGAGGTATCCATTGTTGGGTATGTGACTCTGCAGCGCGCAATTTATCAGGCCAAGTACGAACGGCGGTTGCCGAATATTTGCAGATTATAGGCGGGGGGGAATTCATGAAAAAGAAAGTACATCTTACCGGCGATAAAATTCACCATTCCGTCAAGTAGGTTCATATAACGCTTGTAACAAATAATTTAAATAGAAATCAGCAATATTTAGAGAGATGGCGTTATACATTTCAGGCGTGCCCTCGATATAATCGATCCTGTCTTCGTCGAAATGTGCGTTAAAGAGCAGAATATGTTGGGCACAGAAGAAGGAATTGAAAAGTTTCTTCCGATACTGCCTAATGACGAAGATAGACAAGAGGTAAAGGCATTGTTTGATAAAGAAAGTACCAGTGAAGCAAGGTGGAATACATTTATACAATTTGTCGACTCTAAACGGACAGGGGTATGATTATATCTATAAAAACTTTATTATTACATTTTAATTTGAAACAATAAAATTAATCTCTAATTAACTTTATTCAGGGGGATCGAAAGTGGTATTTGTATCGACACTTAATCGAGGAGATAAAATTACAATATTCATATCCAAGATTAGACATAAATGTCAGCAAAGGCTTAAATCATTTATTGAAATCTCCTTTTTGCGTCCATCCGAAAACTGGGAAAATCTGTATACCATTTAATGCGAGTGCAGTAGATAAATTTGATCCTGATAAGGTTCCTACGATAATGACACTGATAGAGGAGATCAATGCGTACGATGTAAAGGACAAGGCTGAAGAGGAAACTTATGAGTTAAATAAAAAACGAATTAAAGATTACAAGAAAACGAGTTTAAACAAGTCGCTGCATGTTTTTCAAGAATTCTTACGGCATTTGGAAGCAGAGCGACGGGAACAAAGATTAAAAGGAAAAAGTAAGTACACTGTATATTAAATCATCAGATTTTGTACAATTTTGTACTGTTAGCAAAAATTTCTAGCGCGTTTGTTTTTAGTTTCAGCTGATAGTATGGAATTTTAAGAGATTTTACAAAGATAAATTGCCTTTTAAAAATTGCTACTATATTTAATATTATTTACAATCCTTTAATTTGTATTTTCATAGAAATAAAAAAAAACATTTTTTATCTCCCATCCATCTCTAATTTTATATTTTAATATATCATATAGTATCTAGCCATAAATTACTACAAGTACTGTTACGGGAGGAGGTAGGGGCGGGAAGGGGGGGGGGGAGAGAAGAGGTAGTACGAGTTGCTGGAAATCTGGATAGTGATAAAAAAATCGTGACTTTCAAATTTTTCCCGCGAAACCGAAGCGCTTGCTTTTAAAATTCACTTTGACGCGTGTTAACGAGATTTCTCTTCGATCGTGAGGCGTCTACTCCACTTCTCGAATCAACGAGATGAAATTCCGGGCACACGGGCAAAAGTAACTCACTCTTTCACGTGAATCATTGTGAAATTCCTTCTCTGGCTCCTCGTTCCCGTTAAATCGGATGCACAGATTATGTTAATTGTTTGATATAAGCCAAGAGAGTTAATTAGTTTAACTCGCCTCGTTCTCACGTAAGCCGTATTTAGCCACACGTTTTTAATTGTGTCGAGATTATGGGCCGTATGCTTTCATCGTGCGATTTAATATGGAATGTTAAAGAGGATGGTGGAATAAAGTGGGATTCTTTTATTTTCGTTTCCGTTCTTTATTGCGAGAATTAAGTAATTAAAAGCGAAAACGGTATGGTATCTGATAGCGATCTGTATATGGAATAAATAATTCGGATTTGATAATATCAGTGATTTTTATTTACGTTTTGCATGGACTCACATGATTAATTCTACTTTTTTTTACACAAATCAAATCTAATCATTTCTCACATATACAAAAACATTAAAATCATCGTAGAGTGATTATCTTTATGGGCTATTTCATATCAGAAATATTTCGATGTATTCTGCCATAAGAGGTATCGATAAAGCGAAAATAAATAAAACCAAAACAAATTCATGTAAAAAGGAGTCGTACACTGATCTTGCGCAAAAATGCAAGCAATAGTCATTGCTGTTACCAAAACCGATAATCATTTCCATTTTGAATACGTTAAATTTTTCGACTTATGCTGATTAGACATTTTTTATTTTTTTGTTAGTGAATATTATACATCATCAGTAAAGTCTTGGATCTTTCTTTTTTTTTTTTTAACATCCTGTGTGTGTCGGCAGGCCGACCCGTTAACAGGAACATCAACGTATCATGTATACACGCGCATTTTTTGTTAGCCCAATTACCGAGCTGTGCAAAACGTGCAAGTACGCTATAGCTCGCTGGACCACTGTGGTCAATACTTTTTTTTTCTCTCGTCTGACTACGAAGTTTTGTCCCGTTTCACGATCGAAACGTGACTGAAAGAAGAAACACATGTGGCACGGACTCGCTCACTGTTCGTTAACAGTACTGCTAAAAAAATTAAGTAGTTTATAGTTATTAATGCCTTTCCTGGAGAGAGAGGAGTTAAAGCTTTTTGTGTACATATTTAAAATATTTTTGATTGATTGCGACATTATTATAAAATTGACAAAGTCTACGTAAAGAAATACGTTTGCAAAAATATTAAATAATTGCGCCCGATAAGTCTTAAAAGTACAAAGCGCGATATTTCAGATACTGCGCGCACAATCGATATTTATAATAACGTGGCAGCGCCTTGCTTCTTCTTTTCATTATCACGAAATATACTACGTGCCCGTGCGTGCGCGCGTGTAAAAAAACCCGCATGCTCGCCGATTTGAAATATCCTGTAACGCCAGACTGCGCTTCCACAATGCGGAACGTCGAATGTCTCTCCGAGAGTACAGTTTATATTCTTAAAGATTACAATTCGCTCTAACGCCTTCTAATAATTAAATATCTTCATAATTATAAATTCGCGAGAAAGGATTGATCGTGACCACAGTGCGATTACGATATCGCCACTGTGAATGAACGTACATAAAAATAAATAATATATATAAATATATCTCGCGTGCACGCCTCCTTTTTCTCCTACATATACTGAAGACGGAAAAGGATATTATAGATGCGCGTTACTGGCTGTAAGTGTAACTTGAAGCGCTTGTAATTTCTTCAGATCGCGTAATTATAGGCATCACGCAGTGATAATAAGGAGAACATACTGTTGTGCTTATGTTCTAATCGCCATAAACATAGCCATTTTCTTTTCTTGGAAATTATCTGCTATCGTTTATTCGTGTTATTTGAAAAATATATTTATTTGATTGCCATTAACTTTTGTCATTGACCGCGGATTATTTATCTAATCTAAAACAATTATGGATTTTTTTTATAATCGGAAGTGCTCCAAAAATATTTATAATTTATAAATATGTCGTATATGAAATCCATTTCATTTCTGTTTGAAAATAGACGCGGAACTTAATTTGGATATAATAATTCTGAAATATATGTAGCGTGTAAAATATATGGAAATGATCTTTTCGGAAACCACAAACGACATATATTTCCGCACACACTTTCTCCTGTCCAAGCATTCGTTGGAATCGTCCGAATTTATAATGTACTTTTTTGGAAAACGATTTCTCTTTCAATATCTATTTAATGAATTTTGTTTCACCGTGCTAATTTTTTTTGCTAATTTTATTTTTTTTAAATTAAGTACAAATTATATAAGTGTAAAAATTAAGTTAATTTGCTCCCGTTTTATAACGCGTTATAATTTTGTCAAAGTTAATAAATAGAAATTAAAAATTAGGCGATCCTGTTTTCACACGCAAATTAAAATTTCTAATTGCTTGACGAACGGGAAGTACTATTATAAAAGCGTAGAGTATTCTCACCGTGTTAAAACTTTCTTGAGTGGCACAGCAGGAAGAAGAACGGAACAATCGTAATCAGAAGAGATACATTTAGGGAGCGGTACCGCCGCGCTGCATTTCAACGCTTGGATAATTCGTTTATCCGGTATTTGGAAAGCGACGTTTCGACCGTCTTTTTGATTAACATCTCCACAAGGGACGTCTCATCTCATGATACACGCTTCATATTTACCGCTAGATTAAGCCTATACCGACATGGTACGGCGACGTGTCGAATAAATACAAATAACGTCACGCCATCCGAGTTTCACGCGAGAAACCAAGTCATTCTGGCTTTTCCCATAAATACAGCGGACTAGATTTTTCCAGATCTAGGATAGGTATGCGATCCACTGCCGGAGATCGCGTCGTTGGTACACGTCGAAAGCTGTTAAAACGGCGTATCGTCGTTATTGCGTGTCAGAGAAACGTGTAATTCGACTAAATGGACATTCTCTTACGTTTGATTTCCGCTTTAACAAATAGCTTTTTGCGCGCACGATTACAAATATACTTATCTTTGGAATAAATCTTTGTGTTGCCTTGATTTTCGCGCGCCATTTTTACGCGTCTATGGAAAATTGGTAGCATCGCTCATCGAATTGTAATAAAAAATTGTTGAAAGATGCAAAACTATTAATTATTTAATTATTTTTCTAAGGAAATTGTTTTGTTTCTACTATCTTTACAGTATTCGAGTTGTCACGAAGATTAGAAAGTTCTCGTGTAACTACAAAATGCAATGACAGTGTTGAGGAGTCGATATAATTGAGTGCGTGATAATTTCTGGTTGGAAACTCTATTTACAACTTTAGAAAATTAGATTGTGCTTGACAATTGCGCGATTTCTTCGAACAGACGCGAACGTACATGCGGGAGTGGTGCTTTAAAGGAAACGGATTATGAACGCAAATCACACTTCTCCGGTCGAAACCGATTTGCTACCAATCATCATCATCTTGTTCAGTCGAATTTATATCTCTTTTCTGTCTTACGCGCGCTACCTTCATGAAAGTTTAACGAACTATAGGCGACAGCGTTTCGCTATTTCGATACGAGTGTCGTGCGTACGGTATTCTCAACGAGAATTTCACACGAATATGTTCATACCATGAATTGTAAAACTTTATGACTTAACTGTTCTTACGGTTTTCGCAAAACTAAAAACCTTTTGCTCTAATTTCGTGCTAATCGTCTATTAATCTTTTTCCTTGATATGAATGTTGGAGATTCTTAGTGAAATCTCCAACTATTCATATTGTAGTTTGTTTTATAAGTGCATTATGTTCGATAAAAAAAACTCCTCGTAAATATCGAGTATAGTAAACTTGTAAGACAACGTCAGTATGTACATTTGAAACTTCTGCAGGAGGTGCTCTACTTTTGTACTGCATTTACTTATTAAACAGATTGTGGTATTTCTTATTTTATATTGTTCTAAACCCCTAAAGCGGGGGTCCCGTGTAGGTAGGGATATAGCGGTAAGAGTGTGCGTGCGTGCGTGCGTGTGTGTGTGTGTGTGTGTGTGTGTGTGTGTGTGTGTGTAATAGGGCATTACGAGCATGTAAATGTTAAATATAATAGTATGTAAGGCTTAGTTGTAAGTGTAGCATGTAAAACGTTAATTGGTAAGTTTTTTAGTTTATAAGGTTAGCATGTAAGAATAATTATATGTGTAAAATTGTCTCTTAAAGGAATCAATAAAGAATATATATACTTGTTAAACAGATTAATTTTTTTGTCTCTTATCAAAAATATTTTAAATAAATTTTTCAAAATAAAGCAATAATAAAACATTTACAGATGAGAACAATGGTTGTTAACGTCTCGTGCCACTGCAGCTAGTATGCGCAACATTGTAAAACAGATTGTATATATGTGTAATACAATAGCAATAACGATATCCACTGATATAGCGAGAACGCGGAGAAAGTCGATACTGGGATCATGTATCAAGTAAGGGTTCAATATCGAAGAATTTATAATGATTAATTATGAGCAAAAAAATTAGTTCAATCGAGATATTAAGCCGACGAATGAAGAGGTATGTACGTACGTGCCATTCTGCTAATGATATACGAGCGATAAAATAAAAATTTGATTGCATGTGTAAACATGATATAACACGTATATTTAAATGTAAAGTGATTCTTCCTTTTCTTTCGATAAAGTTTAACATTAAGAGCAAAGCGATTAAAATAAATCTCACAAATTAAGCTTTTTAAAATGAAAAAGATTATTACAGGGAGTTGAACGCATCGAGTTAAATAGCACAATTAAATTGAATTGGTAAATATATATGTATATTTTACACGTATGTACATACATACGCGTGCTTTAAATTGAAGCTTAGTCGAAAGGAAGACGAGTTGTCGAGAAACCGTATAATGTGAAACAGGATTCAACGGGTTAATGGATTCATTGGTAAAACGATTCGACGGCAGCTTGTACACGGGCCTTGTTACGGACGCTTCAATCTCGATTAAGAGCAAAAGTGTCATGAAGAGTGAAGATGCGTCAGCAAGAGTGAAGCGTCGAAAGAGGTGCGAACGAACGAAAGTGTGCCGTTCGTACGCCAACGTGCGTATCGTCCTGTTCTAAGAGGGGGACATAGTTGTTCGGACACTACGAAGAGTGGCATGCTTGAGGTATAACGTTTACCTCAGTGGGGGCAGCGACATAAGTACAGACGATCTTAAGAAAAGCCCTCATTCTAATAGCAGATCGCAAATCCACGGAGTGAACTTGTGCAACGTGCGATACAACCCCGCTTAACTGTTCGCCGGTCGAAGGACGTGAAAATCGGAAGATAGAAGGGTCAGACGTTCGAATGTATTTTGAGGAGAGCCGCATCCGTGAACGAAAAGAAGAGACGTTTGAAACTGAACTTTGCATTAGCCATCGTATTTTTTTTGTCTGCGAGACTTGTACACGTGGTGAGTACGCGTGAGTTTTTGTCACAATTTCTCGAATGCGAATTTCAAATAATTATGCTCTGAAAGGCACGATCATGATGTTTAGTTGCGGATAATTGCACAGAAATTTTAAAATAGAGATCACGTAGATCTTGCTCGAAATACGCGATATAATGAATATACATGACATAAAAAATAATACAATGGAGAAATAAAATAAATTTCTATATATCGCGAAATAAATGAGATCTAATTGTAAATGATCGAGAGCTTGCTGAAAGGGGATACGCTTTATAAATGATTTAACAAATCTTGAACTAATTTGGATGCACTTATTTATCTTACAAATATTGATTTATAATTTTATTGAAAATATATAAAAATATAAATATATAAATTAATTGAAATGCCTATGTCATTTTCGACGATCGATCGGTCAAATTATAATTTTGATTGTCGCATTTGTTGTATGCGAATCTGGAAGGGCCTATGTAAATTTTAACAGAGTCCAAGATTAGTTGTTAGTTAACTGATCATCCATATAATTAATATCTAATTTGTATTTCAATGAATTATGTGAAAGGAAGGACATGATCAAATGTACAAATAATTTTTGTACATTTTTATTGTGGTAAAATAAAAAGAAATTTTAGAAATTATGGATACAATACCACCCACGCGATTATTCGTGTACAGAAGTTAGTACAATCACGTACGACCTTTCGCAGGTGATCGCCACACTAGCATCATGTCGATCACGATCTCTATCACCGTTCCATCGATTGGTATTCTTGTAATGTTCATCGATCTGACCGAACAGCTAGTCAAGTATAGGAAAAGCACGAAGAATTTTTTTGATTTAGATTAACTTGGCAATCGACATTTACGTGACACGCGCCGTTCGTGAATGACAATGCGACAAAAACCGCTTCTTCTCATTGTTATTTCACTATCGCTATCATTTAACTCACGATCCACTATACGCGTACTATACCGTATATTTTTGAACTACCTTTTCTAAATTTTACTGAAATAATTATTAGCTTTATCATGATAATATCCACGATGTGCATATGAATGTGTAATAGATTATTTATTAACATCCGATTCATATTTTAGGTTGCAACTCAACCATAAATGATTCCGTTAAATTTTTTCTCAACATTGCAAGGTTTAATGTATCGTGACCAATTTGCCAATCAATTGAACGAATGACCGACCGACAAAATGATTTCAGATTCTTGGCCTGTTGTACATAACTTCCCGTGACTAATTTCGCTCGTATACATTCTCGCAAAATTATTGATAAATTATTCCTCGACAATCGTCTCTGCTTCTTTCCTTACAAATCTTCGTTCTTCATCTATGAAGATAATGCAAAAGTTTATTTTTATTTACGGACTTATAAACCATTCGCTCGCGAGGCGGATCATAAAAACCGCTCGTGTAGTGAACGATTTTCGTATTCGCTAGCAGTGTAACACCATGGACAACCGGTTCGGAGTCTGAATTAGAGTTCTCTAAATTTCACTTCTTGACGAAACCAAATGTAAATAGCATGCGCTCGTAATAAATGATCAATTTCTTGTGGTAAACCGCCGTAAGAGTCAATGGTAGCGGCAACGCAAAGGAAGCGTTTCGTGCTTAAGAATGAGCATTACTTTGCCGTGCGCAGCATCTGGAAAACGAGATGTAAATTATTTCGCGATTTATGTACCTACTCTCCAAATTCGACTCGGTCATCATCGAAAAGTATGTGCCAATTGTTTTTACGCGGTAATTTAATCTAATTTACAATCGAAGGAGGGGAGAGGATAATGTTTTAATTATTTATCATAAAATAATATCATTTAGGATTTACTTGCATCAAACAATTGCTTGACGCATATATAATCCCAATATTTGCTTTACAACGATGTGTTTCCAGAATTCTGATTTCCTTCTATAAATACAGAGAGGATTGGAAATGAGGTGAAAGTTTTTAGATAGCAGGACATGAGAATAAATTGTATTGATTTTTAAATTGAATGTTACTTCGTGCGGCATTTGTGAAATTGGAATCTAGGATAACAGAGATGCGATCATTGAACTTAATGAAATCTCTAAGAAAGGAAGCGGTGTACAGCATTGTGCAATTAATAATATTAAAGCAACATGAATTTTAAACAAGTTACAACAATTTTAAATCGATACAACAAATGCTATTAATGTCACAAGAAGCGAGATTAATAATTAAAGAAAATAAAAAATAAATTGTACGTTTAATATTATGATAAAAATATAAAACAAATTAATAATTTTATATTAATGACGTGATTATTAGTAGATTTCTGAAGAATTTCCTTTGTATTTTAACTTATCTTAGATAAAACTCACAGCTTTAACAGCTTTGATTTATCTTAGAAAAAACTCACAGCAGTAATTTGAGGCAGATAATTAATCCATTATATCGTAAATTTAAACGATCTTCTATACAGCAGAAATGTTTGAAATACATCTTAGGGTTATCTTAAAGCTAGCTCTATCACATATTCTAAATATATCTTAGGATTTCTACGATGTATTTTGGATACTTTTGCTGTGTGGGCTCTGTAAATGCTGTATTTTTATATTTGGATATAAATATATGCGTATAATTATTTAATAATCCTATTAATCTCAATTCTCGTATAATTTTATCTTGACAAACATAGACATAAATATAGACATATTTAAAACATACACATATACAAGCACATTGCTCTATCTAGGTTAATCGATTCGTGCATTCAGATCGTTTACAAATATACCGTTGCTTTGTGTCATTAATGTTTTACACATTCTTAAAAAATAATAAATGTAGTTTAACTCGGTAAAAAGCATACAATCAACATTGACAAGCAGATCCAATTCTCACCGAAATAATTAATGAAATTGCTGATTTGTAATCTACATAGTGGTGATGATTAACGCAATACAAGACTTATTGAAGGATATCAATATAAAGAAGTCACAATTTATGTTATTATATAAACATTTGAGAAAATTATAATTTTTTTATTTTTTGCGAAAGTTGCATTTTTTAATTGTACAGAATAAGTAATCAAAAAAGATGAATTTTGTTTACAATTAGAAGATTTATTGTTAAAAGATGTAACTCTATTTACAAATTATGAAAATTTGGATGAAAAATGAAAAATGAGGAAAGACGTGAAGGTGTGTTAAGATAATTATTGCTTCATACCGGAATTACAGTTCCGCGCTAAGTCGGATAATTCGCTTGGTCATCACTTTTTTGTTAACGATATGCTTGATAGAAGTTCGTTTTGAAAAAATAATTAGACCGTGCACGAATCACACAACTTGATTCAACTTTCAACTTTATAAAAATCACAATATACTATACTATACAAAAATAATATATATTTATACATTATGAATGATTTACTTTAATTATTTAGAAATTTAATTATTATAATTGCATTTATATTAATTTCAATGACTCATTTGACGAGACGGCCACTTCTAATCGCATAATAAGTTCTATAATTGTAATGAAATTCGTTTTAGATATCGTTACTTTTTTGTTTTTCTCATTGATCAACTATTGCCAATCATTCACTATGGCTTCCCATCATTGATAATGAATTAATATAAAAACTGACACTTTGTAACAAAAATTATCGCGACAATGCAAAAAAAGAAAACTCTTTACAAAAAATTAAAACGCTTAAATCTTGATTGAAAAAGTGTTTGTTATAAAGTAAAGCTTAAACATAAATAATTTAATAAAACAACATTTTGAATTTAATCTGCAGATATATTTTGCATAGATAACATAAAAGAAGCTATATGAGTAGGCTGCTCCCGGGCTAATAATATAGCTCGATTATATTTCATTTTGAGTGAAACGATTGATGAAAGAATCGTGTAAATTACAAATACGTTAATAAATAATAATATAGTATATTAATAAATACAACGATAAACCGGATGGCTATGACAGCATTAACTAATTATAAAATGATTACTATAAAGTAACTCTTCTTAATAAAATCCTTTCAATAAATAATTTAATAATAATATGTGAAAGAACCATCATTTGAAATAGAATGTACACGTTAAATTAGTTTGTATCACAAAAAATTGAACGTTTCTTACAAGTTTGAAGAATCTCAATTCTGGGCGATTAGCGCTTATAGAACCGTTATTGTACGTCAAAATAATTTGTGCAATTAAAATTATTTTAAGTTGGGAAAGGCACATTTGTGATCTAAATCCGGGTTACGGCACGGCGTTGTGGTACGATTGCAATCTCATTATATCGTGAAATTACTCGCGGATAGAGCTGCTAAACTCCGAAATTAACAATCACGAACACTGTTAGCGCGCGGACAGTCGGCATTCCTCAAATCCGAGATTCCTGCGATTCGTGGTAACAATTGCGGCGAGCGTATGGCGAACGGTGCAGATTCGCTCGTACCTGATTACAATCTTGAAAGGAAGCACCTGTGCAGTCTCACAGAGTCCTTCGTCGTCTATCGGTGTAATTACGAGAGAGCCTTGTAAAGTTGCTTATTAGGAGAGCCACGTGCGACTCGAATAGCCTTTTAAATAGGCAATATCACGTATCCTTTGTCCTCCTTTTACTTACAAAACTGCAGCAAATATTACCGTGTGAGAATATTTTCGTTTAACTGTAATTAGGTATGTGGAATTATTGCAGAATCAGAATATACATCAAACAATATTCATATTGACAGAATAAAAAAGATCCACGCGTAATCGAATTTCATATTAATTATATATACTCGTATAACCGAAAATGTTTTTATTAATCGATCAGCATAAAGATTATTGATAAATGTGATATGCACAATGTATAATAACGAGAATTTATTACAAAATAAAAGCTTTTTCTTCGATAACCTATGAATCATCATATATACAAGCTTCCGCGCTACATCCTGCGAAATTCCCCGTATACGCTATATCGCGCTAAAATCAGTAGCGTAAAATTGGATGATTAAAGAAGCAGCGAA